GATCAGGGAAAAGGAATGAAACAGCATAAGCCGCGAAGGAAGTGCAAGGAGGGATGGCGGTAACAAGCCCACCCTGTATCGAAGCCTTCTGCACGAGCGCGACAACGCAGAGACATATCCCGGCGAACACCAACGTGATCAGTATATATCTAGTTGTTGTCAGTATACTCCTTACTAACTCATCAATTGATACCTACAGGCTGTCATGCTTCACTCGACGAGTCTGATAGCGAAGGTACATCATCATTGCGATGGACCAAACGCCAAAGATACTGTCCGACAACATCAGTACGATTCAATGGAGATAGAATGGTAGATACTTACGTCCAAGCGAAGCTAGGTCGGACCGCCGCGTCGTTACGCATGATGAACCATAGTACGCTTGTTACGCCCATCAATGAACCCAACATTTGACTTGCCATGGCCAACAAATACCCAGCAGCGACAAAAGTCGTCGTGCCTATGGTAGCCAAAGGTACTCGCATAGGGAAACGAGGAGGCGGGTTCGCGGCGAAAGCCCCGTAGGCGTTCTGTACCGGGTACGGTGCCAGTGCCATCTGATTGTCCATCGCTGCCACTGGAGCGACCAAGCTCGTGACAAAGAGGAAGATGGCTAAAGGAACAAGTATTGTTTTGATCAATGGTCGGAGTCTTTGGAAAAGCAAAGATGTTGAAGCCTCGCTAAATGGAGTACGAAGTGCGGTCGTTTCGCGCAATTGTTGTATCGCTGCAGCAGCGTCACCGCAAGGCGGATCCGGATAAGACTCCGTGCTAGAAGGAGCCATGGTCGTACGGTTCCGAGTGATGCTAGAGCCTTTGGATTGCATTGCGCCGAAGTCGTTGCTCAATTGCATTTCGATGCTGTTGTTATTAGTATCTAGGAAAGGCCAGCAAATATAGGCAGAGAAAGTAAAGGGCCAACTTACAGACGTCAATCTTGGAGAACGATACCGTCAATCAAGAAGCAACTGCAAGAAAAGTTTTGGGGGGGACAGGTCAAGAAAAGGCCGCGCACATGTTCATTGCGCAAACTAGCACCGGTCACAGAAGACAAGGCGAGAAGTATAGTGGCTGTGTTTTTGAGCTCAGCCCGTGTTTAAGACTCGGCATGCAGACAATGAGGCAGAATCGCGACTGCGTGGCCTTTTGCTGTTCGCTGGACACGGTGGAGGACGCAGAGCAAGCTTACACCGGCATATCGGAGTAGTGTCACGAGAACAAAAGATACACTGTGTGGTAGACTCCGCCACGTATCTGTGACGTCGCAGAAGGAATTTGGTATATGTACTACCGTGGTGCAGCCGCGATTCGCTGATGATGATGGTGAAGGACTCGACCAGCGCACACCGGTGGCTGGCTTGCGCCTCAGCCTGATGCATCAAACTCGTAACAGGGCAACAAAGCCCCGCCTTGTCTGTCAGCCTAGCTGGTTTCTGACGTTTACTCGCATAGGGATCTTATATACCTCCCGCATGCCTTTCCTGCCTTTTTGTTCTTGCAATACCATCAGACTGAATCTACCAATACCTCCAACCTATTTTACTGCTACAACAGTCGACCCGACTCACAACCTCGCGATGGCGGGGCACCCTGTGGTTCATAACTCTCCTACATCGGCAACCCACCTATACGGCCCTATCCTCACTATGAGACTACCACGATGGTCGTACTGCAAATGCGGAGACGCCACAACGCAATGCACCGCATGGCTCCACCAATTCCTACTACATGCCATACTTGTACTGAGCTTCATTGTCGATGCAATAGCAGCGTTTGATCTCGGTCAACACAAATGGCAATGTTTTTCACTGGAGGCAATAAGCCCCTCTAGCGCCAACCACACGACTGTGTCGACCATCGCATTCTTCACCGCATCTACCATCATCTATCGGACCAACGCCCACGATCAATGGCAAGATCATTTCCTCCTCGCAGGGATAACGTCTGGTGCCGCCTCCGGCCTTCTTCTCAAAGGAGGATTACAAGAAGCCATTCTCGAATTCATGCCATGGACCGTTGTGCTGTCTTTATTGTTCAGCACCATACATCACCGAACGGTTCAGTTCGCCCGTTGTAAAAGTCCCGTGTTAGAAGAGAAAGTCCCTTTGCTGCCTTGAAAGCGCTCGCACAGGAGCTCTGAAGGAACAGTGGCAGTGCTCAGAATCCGATGTTCACATCGTCGATCTCTTTCCTATGTCAACTCGCAGGTCAACCCATAACTGGGTTGTGTCGTTTTGGCGTTGGCGATCTTGCTTTGGCGTTATCAATTACTTTTTGTATACAAGTCTGCACAGTATAAGTACTGGAATGGATGTTAAAATTTGGGTATCATACCTTGCGCCTAGCGTCACTCAGTTATCAAGATGTCTCCCAATGCCCAGTGACTGAGTGTCGCGCTCTCCTTATTTGCTCAGTCTGACTCCAACGTAGACACATCCTTGTGACGATTGCTATAGCCAGTGTGTTCATGATCTCATTGCAATGATTCAGAAGTCGTCAGTGCAAGGCGGCCTAGTGACAGCGATATTGACCTGTAGTTCTTCCTCGGATTCGTTGCGCATATCGCTTCCCATACGCATATAGACAAGAGTCATGTTTCACTTGCCTCTCTCCGCAATTCATCATCGTTGGGCATCCGACAATTAGGCTGTCGACGGAGAGGAAGCTCAGTGTACTTCGTATCAGTGAAGTAGCTCAAGTCAAACTGCGGTTCCAGTCGCTGCTTCTCGGTAACCTCTGCAACCTTTTCCTCTGCATCTTTCGTCTTCGTGTGCGCGCTTCGAAAGAGACGATCCGCATCTTCGCGTGGTGAAGATGGCGGCACAGCTTTGCCAAGCCAGGATGTCCCACGGCCGCGCCAGCAGAGTACGGATCGGGCGTTGCCTTGTCCAACAACTTCGAACCCATCTTCGGTCGCATTATCTCCAGTGGCATCAGGCTGCTCCCGCCATATCTCAACGCCGTCGAATATGTCCAGGTTTCGTGCGCGCTGCGCTACGCGAAGCGCTTGCTCCATGTCTGCGACCTCGAATAGGACGACTTTGGCTTCTACGTCTCTGGCGATCTGGAGCAGCCGCGGATAGAAGCGATCGCCTGGCTCTTTATCTGTGTGCTTAATCTTTCGTGGAGGTACCAGCGCGAGCTTTGGCTCGAAACCACGTACCGAACGCGTTGTCGTGTGCCAAAAGGCAGCTGGCGAGATGTACGGTGGGTTGGAGATGAGAATGTCCCAAAAGGACGGTTGTCCCGCCCAATTGAGCGCAGCCGTCAGCGACAGGACGCCTTCGGTCTGGTCGTCAAAGGGATTGATCAAGACGTCCGCCTGTATGAAGTCCAATTTGCCAGTGTCTTGGAGTTGTCGCGTCTTGCGTAGTTTTTGGAGATTGTATCTCGCGAGATCAAGAGCCTTGTCGGAGATGTCGACACCGAGAAGACGCAGGTCTACTTTGTTCGAGGCGGAGGACAATTCGTGGTGGAAGAGGAGGGGTATGCAGCCGGTGCCGGTGCAGAGGTCGAGTACGCGTACTTCAGAGGGGAGTTCTTTCGCATGTCGTAGGAGACCGGCGAGGTGTGTAATTGAAGCGGCTGTGTCTGCTCTGTTCGCGTCGTTAGCCATGAGCCGGAGAGAAGCCATAGTTCTAAATACCTCGGGATTAAGACACCAGGCCTACAGCGTATCTCCAGGTCGCCAAAGTACTCTGTACCTAATAAATACTGCAATGGCTTCCCGGCGGCTCTATCTTTGACTAGTTGTTGCAGCAAAGAAGCCTTAGCTATCGTGTCACCTTTTGCGCGACGCGCTTTCGCGACTTTCTCGACATGTTCGCGGAGCCATCGCAGCTCGTTCTGGGCGGCCTGCAGTTCGCGACAGGGCCCAAGAAGAGCAGGCAGGTAGGGATCGATTGCGCGCGCCTTGCGGATGAGCGACGTTGGTATCCGTGGCATGTTGAAGGTGACGCGGTAGGGTGGAGTTGCGGTCGCCTCACTAGCGTCGGCTTCATGTCGTCTGGCCGCTGCAGCATTGCGGCGTTTTGTCCAAAACTTCGACAGGGCAATGACATATCCTGACGTTGCTTTCCACGAAATGGAAAATATAGGAATTCATCACGATACTTCAGTAGGTGCCTGTTGGTAGAAACCTAGCTAGTATATTAGCAGCACGTGCTCAGTAAACCTCACGACCGCCCCTGCCTCATTGCTTTTTCGGCAGCCTGCAAGTCTGCCCTCACACCAGACTCAAGCTTTTGGGTCTAACCATGAGGACGTCTACATCCAAAGCAATACTGAATTCTGCGCATGGCATCCAACATGCCGTATAGCTAAGCTTTAATTTCCCCGCGCGACGCCCGTTCGACCCACCATCCCCAACATCACGCCCGTACCCCATACTTTCCTAGTTCACATTCATCCAATTGCTCTGCGTAGCGCGCATTACTAAATCAAACGTATCCACCTGCGTAACGGTGCTGTGATACCGAGTCTCATCATCATGAACAGTCGTGGTCTCTTGGCCCAGCCACAGGCGGATGAATATTTCCAGCCCTGGGGCCTTCCAAAATACTCAGTGCTACGTACTGAACAATCCACCACTACAGTATACTCTTCAACGCTTTGAGTACATCCGAGAGCATGCACCCATATCACCAGTAATCTACCACAAGTTACATCCGCCATGCACATCACCAGGCACAGAAACAATCCAGTCCACACAACACCTTCCCCACATCCACCCAAGCGCAAAGTGCCAAGTCTTCTCCGCCATTGGTCCTACAAGAGCGGAGAGGCCATCTGACTTGTGGGGTCAAACAACCGCATGCGTCTCTGCATAGAGAACTTGGCAATAACGTTGACTCGGCAGATGGGTAAAGTCGCTGGATTGGCACTGCATCCGACCCAGTCTGGGCAAGATGATCTTCAAAGTATAAGGTAGGATTCCTAGCCTTTAACTTCAGATCTAGCTTCTCAAACGACTGCAATCCTTCCAGTGGGGTTCTTTTGACATGTCAGACAACAACGGATACACATGGCGCGACCATTCGCGCTTGTTCCTTGCATGCGGTGTTGTTATCTTGAGTCCGTTTCAGTATGGGTTTGATTTTGGTATGATTGGAGGACTGCAGGCTATGGTGGGGTTTTTGAAGGTACGGAACATTTGCGTCGCTCTTTCTCCTTCAAGGTTGATGGCGAACTGACTGTGCATACCAGATCTTTGGCTATCAAACCGACAAGTCACCCTTAGGATGGAACCTCACTACCGAGCGACAGCAGCTCATCTCCTCGCTCATGACGCTGGGCGCTTTCATCAGCTCCGCGACTGCTGGTTTACCATCCACCCGGTTCGGGCGGCGCATGTGTCTGGTCGCGGCATGTGTGACATGCTTCGTGGCCAACATCATGATGATGGCAACAGAGAATATCGGAGCGCTCTACGCCGGCCGCCTGATTATCGGTTTTGCGAACGGCTACTTCATGACCTTCTCGCAACTCTACCTGCAGGAGAGTAGTACGGCAGAGCTTCGTGGCATCTTCCTCACAGGCTTCAACTTTTTCGTTTCCTTCGGAACTTTGATTGGCACGATTGTCGATTGGGCCACTGCGAAACGACCAGACAAGTCTGCCTACCTCATCCCACTGGGACTCATCTACGTGTTTCCTCTCATCATCATCTGCACGATATGGTTCATACCCGAGAGTCCCCGCTGGCTCATCCTCCAAGGCCGTTTCGAAGAAGGCGTAAAAGCACTAGAATGGCTCCGTCCCGCCCGTCACGACTCCCGCGCCGAAGCCACCGCTATCCTCGCAGCCATCGAGAAGGAAAAAGAATCCAGCTCCGGCATAGGCTGGCTAGACATGTTCAGCAACCCCGTCGATCGACGCCGTACTTTCCTCGCCGTCTTCGCTGTCCTACTCCAAGCAGCTTCAGGATCCATGTTCATCATCGGTAAGCCCCCCACCACCTAGAACCCTCAAAACGTCCTCTTAACACCCCCCAAGCATACAAAGCCTACTTCCTCTCCATGGCCAAAGTAACCGACCCCTTCGCCATGTCCAACGTCCTCTCCGCCATAAGCATAATCGCCTTCATCGCAAACTCCTTCATAGTAGTCCGCTACGGCAACCGCCGCGTCCTCCTCATGACCGGCCTCCTCGTCTGCGGCATCCTCCAACTCATCATCGCAACCGTATACCACCAAGCCCCCAACGCAAAGTCGACAGGAAAAGTCACCGTCGGTCTCACTGCTATCTACATGTTCTCTTACAACGGCATGATATCCACATACGCCTGGCTCTCCGGCGGCGAACTCCCCACGCAGAGACTACGCAGCCATACATTTGGCCTTGCGGCCAGTGCGGGGTTTGTAGGCGCGTGGCTGACGACGTTTACGGCGCCGTATTTTATTAATCCGCAGAGTATGAATTGGGGACCGCGGTACGGGTTTATCTGGGCGCCGAGCTGTGCGGTTGCGGCGACGTGGGTGTTCTTCTTTTTGCCGGAGGTTAAGAATAGGACGTTGGAGGAGATTGATGAGATGTTTGAGGCTGGGCTGTCGGCGAGGCAGTTTGGGAGTTACAAGTGTGTGGGGGCGGCGAGGGGGGATGATGAGGGGAAGGTGGGGAGGAGTAGTGTGGAGAAGGAGAAGGAGGTTACGGTGCTGGCGAGTGAGAAGGTGGCGGCTGAGACGAGTGTGTCGAGGGATTAGGAGGTATGGGGAGTGGAATGGTCACTGTGACCCGGGATGTGATAGAGATCTAGGTGGGTAACGGCTTGTGGGGTATCTCATAATATATTGCTATGTTCCCTCGCGGTTCGCTCTATAGGCATAAACATCTTTCTTGCTCAAGGTGTATGCAACGCCTCAAACGACTCTCAACCAAGTATTCGCTCGATAACATATCTTCCGCCAGGCTCTTTCCTTTGTACCACCTTTCTAACTCCAAGACCCCATCCTTGACTACCCTTCTCACCCATGAGGCTCATCTCGACCTCGCACTCCCGCTTATCTTTAGAGAGGTCTACGATCTTGCCCTTTGGCTTACTCGCTTGTAGTAATGGTGTATTGAGCGCAATGTTGATAATCTGCGGCCTCGTAACGGGAGTGAGAGGATGCATGCGCGTCTTCGGCGTTCGGCTTCCAGTGATTGTAGATGATGCGGCCCGCTGGAGGTGCGAGTAGATGATGTATCCCGGCATCTTTGCTGGCGGTGTGCGTGCGAGTATAGAAGAAGGGTGTAGGAAGACGTATTTCGAGTGTGGGTCGTCCGAACGCTCTGATTGTGACGAGAACAGAGTAACGTATGGCACATCGATCGCGGTCTTGGGCTTTCTCGGGAGCTCGGGAGGCACAGGTGCAAGGTCGGCGCGCATGGCAATCTGATCGATGAAGCCTGCAGCACAGATTTGGGTAAGCAGATTGATGTTTCGCTCCGAAGGTGCTGGGAGCTTTGCATTGTATGCTCCGATAGCGGTGGGTCGATGTGCCCGGACAATGTTGGTGAGCTGGTGGCGGAGCTGACTGGCCTCGTTCATGGACTTGGGATTGAGGAACATGTCTTCGCAAAACCGGTGCGAGTCAGGCTCGTACGCGTAGGCACAGATGGCGTTGCTGAGCTTGATGCAATCACTCTGCTTCGCGTTGATGCTCATTTTGGCCTGTGCGGCATTGTAGGCTTTGCGCAGCCGGGAGCGCTCTTCAGCTTCGATGTTGTCCTGCTCGGTGCGGATGGCGTCCGGGTCTTTGATGGGCTCACGTAGTCCGAGATTGTTCTCTGGGACGATGAGTTCCGGTACAGATAGAGCAGCCACCAATGCGATGGTTTCAGCTGCGAGATTTTGTGCGACACCCATCGCAACCATGCGGGCGAATCGCGGATTGAGAGGATATAACGAAAGTTCGTGGCCGAGTTTTGTGACCTTCCCATCCAGAGACAGTGCCCCAAGGTATGAAAGCAAATTCTCGGCCTTCTGCAGACTTTCCCTATCCGGTGATGTAGGGAAGGGGAAGTTGACGACTGGAGCGCCCATACTTTTCAACTGCAGCACCACGCCCTCCAACGGTGTTCGTGAGATCTCCGGAGCTGCATACTCTTCGAAGTCCCGCTCGAAAACGGCCGACGAGTACAGGCGATAACAGTGACCAGGTCCAGTACGACCCGCACGACCGGATCGCTGATTGGCGCTAGCTTTACTGATCCAGCTGACTTCGAAGCTCTGGACTCCAGTAATGAGATCGTATTTCTTCTCCTTGGCTCTTCCGCAGTCGAAAACGTAGCGGATACCGGGTATTGTCAAACTGGTTTCAGCGACGTTCGTCGCAAGGACAATAAGACGAGAACCATCAGGAGGTGGGTCAAACACCCGCAGCTGCTGATTTGTGGGCAGTTGTGAGTAAAGAGGCAGAACATGTACGTTCATGACAGTGTCCTCGGCCTTTTCGTCCTCGATCTCGAATTCTTTGTCGTCTTCGTCATCCAGTCCCATGATCACGGAGCCTTCTGAATCAGAACCATCGTCGTCTAGGTAGTTCTGATCTTCAGCCTCTCCGCCCAGCTCGATATCCTCGGCCTCTAGTGGCGTCTCCGCTGGAGAAACCACGACTTTGCCGTGCTTCACTTCGCGTCCTTGCGTGGAGGGGAAGGCTTCCTTCAGCCGCTTCGCCAGCTGTGAGATCTCGCTCTGTCCAGTGAGGAAGACAAGCATACCACCCTTGGGCAGCTTTCGATGTCCTCTGCACACCTTACGATACATCTCTTCGACATAGTCTCGCTGGGTGCGGCGTGCGAAGTGGTTTACAACGGTGTATTGTCGACCTTCTGCCTTGATCAGTGGCGGAGGCTCACTCCTGAACAAGCGTTTGTTCTCTGTGAAGTCGGATATCCGCAAAGTAGCAGACATGATGATCAGTTTGAGAGGCTTGTTCTTCGGGTCTTCTTTGACCATCTGAGCACGAAGATCCACTATCCTGCTAAGCATGCCAATAAGAATGTCTGTGTTCACACTGCGCTCGTGAGCCTCATCGATGACAATGGCAGAGTACTTTGTCAAGACAAAGTCTTGGGTAATCTCTCGTAACAGCACACCGTCAGTCATGAATTTGATGGCAGTTTTTGGACTCGTTGTCGTGTCAAATCGGATTTGATATGCCACTTTCGTACTTTGGTCGCCGAGTTCATCGCCGACACGTTTCGCCATACTGACAGCGGCTACACGTCGCGGTTGCGTGACGCCAATCATGCCTGGCGTAGGCCCGTCTGGCGCTCCGTATCCAGATTCTAGGAGAAACTGAGGCACCTGCGTGGTCTTACCACTACCAGTGGCACCCCAAACTACTACCACATCGTTATTGTGTATGGCCTCCATGATCTTCTGCTCTTCCGCTACGATAGGAAGCTGCAGTCTTGACTCTTGTATCTCTGGTGACCGTTCGACGTTCACGCTGAAGGCTTTCCGTGTCGCATCGGTCGCCGTTTTCGTCTCAAGTTCTGGGGGCAAAGGATCTTGCTCGGGAGCTCGAGGTTTGAAGTTCGCCGGAATCGGTGCGTAGGAGAGTTGGTTTGTCGGGGTGAAACCCACTTGCTCGTTTCTCTGCTGCGTTGCCCAAGCCTTGAAAGCCGACGTTCTTTCCTTCTTCGCAATCTTGTTCTCTTCGTCAGGACTGGTATCGCTATCCTCGTCGCTGTCATCTTCGGAGTCTCCAGACTCTCCAGACCCGTCTGAGGCTTCGGATCCGGAAGTTGATGCCTCCTCCGAATTCGAACCAGCGTCGTCGGAGTCGGCAACAGATGCTTCAGACTCATCCCCACTGTCCTCATCGTTGTTCTCGCTGCCCGAGCTGAAGCCCTCCCATGCGACCTCTTCTTCAACCACGACAGGTTTATTGGTCTGACCTTTCCGGCGCTTTCGCACTTGTATAACGGGTTTGCCCGACTCGTCCACCTCTAGAGGCCTCTTCAGTCCGCTTCCAAAGAGTCCACCAGTCTGCCGTGGCGCCGCGACGGGTTGCGAGGTTGGCTGCGAGGCTTCGATTTCGGGCTCGGAGGGTGACGGGGATGGCGCTCGTTCTCGTGAGGAGCCGTTGGTTTGCGCTGCTTGCGAGGAAATCTGTCGTGCGTTTGGTTTCGAAGTGGGCATCGGCGCTTCTTCTTCGTCTGAACTTTCGTCTCCGACCTCGCGCTTCTCAAGTATCAGGCCTTCGTTCTTTTCCACATCTATGCCGGCTCTACTCTCAGCCAGTGCGCGCCTCATTGCCTCCCTCTTGGTGTCCGCTCCTCGACCGAGCTTCTTCGAGCTTTGGAACAAGCTAGTGTCGACTTTCTGGGTCGCAAGCTTCTTGAGCAGTTCGAGATTCTCTTCTTTCTTGAGTTTTGTATCCTGCAGATGTTAGCCTTGAAGTTCTTCGCGGTGCAATCCTAGCGCAAATTGACGAAGAAAGGCGTCGGCAGTCTTGTATGCCGTATCTCCACGTACAATGTATTTGTCGAGGCGCTTCTTCTTCTTGCCGCTCATCTTGCCCTGGGACTCTCGGGTGAGCTCATCCTTGAGCGCCGCCTTCTTCTGGGCGCGCTCCTGCTCATCCTGGGGCAAGATCTCGGTCGCATTGGTGTCGGCGGCGGCTTCGTGCGTCTGCGTCTTCTGACGGGCCAGAACCTTGTGTTTTCGCTGTCGCGGCACGAACTTGGGCATTTTGGTGGTTGCGGCGTCGAGGACTGCTCGCAGCGCCCGAAAGTTTTTGGTGGGGATCTGACGCTAGTGGGAACTCCGCAGCACTTCCGCCGGGTGCGAGTCGAGTGGGCTGTTGATCTGGATTCAACACCACGCACCGCCAGACACGAACGCGAAAGTCGCATCAGCACTCTACTGCGCGCCTAACTACTTTCACTATACCAAGATACCGAATCAACTCGCTCGCCTTTCGTCGCATTGCTCGTCGCATATCAGCCACTCCTCAGCAATAGCGATCGCATCGCACGGACAACACCATGGCAGCACCCACAAATTCAGACGGCTACGTCGTGACGCCCGCCCCATATCCAGCGCGTACCAGTACGGCAACTTCGGCGATCAAGAGTATAGAAACTACAGCAACGGCGGTCAACTTTGCGGACAAGATTCTCATCACCGTGACACAGAACGGACGGTTAGCGCACTGGGTGTGTGAATATGTTTGTTTGTATGTAGTATCTTCTGCTAACACCATTAGGTACATGTACCCCTTGATATTTCCGCGACAGATGGCTCAATGACCTCGAATGCCTACCTCGAACGCGACGAAGAAGACCCCAACTCAGACCTCCTTCCTATGCACCATCTCACGGCTACAACTATACTTGGCGGTACCATGGCAGAGCTCGACACTCTGGGCTCAACACTCGCGACACAGATTGCCAGTGTCATCAAGCAACGCGACGACAGGGAAACCAGGATGGTCGTACTAGGTATGGGGCTGGACAAAAGCATGATTGGAAGAGAAGCATTCAGCGAGCTGGTTGGACTTGTGCTGGGAGTCATATGAGATCGAATTCGTATTGCGTTAATCTATGCAATGCTCGACGTTATAACCGTGGGAGTTTGTGCCCGAACGTTACTCCATCGAATCCTGGGTATGTCATCCATCCGTCCTCTAAGGTCAACTTTTGTCCCTCTATGCGCCGTCCCATACTAATCAGTCAAGTACCGTAACGCCGACCCAATGCAATCCATAACCGGTTCCTTTATACGCTCTCACGGAGCTTGTTGATCAGAACATCGACCGACTCCATGTCGTTGGCATCCAGCTTTTGTTCCGGCTTGAACTCGGCGGGCACATGCTCTACAGCGGCATCGAGCGCAGCCTGGAAGTTACGGACGGAGGACGACAGGGCGAAGACTGCCTTCTTGCGGACCTTCTTCTCGGTGTCTGAGGTGGCCATACGGACGAGAGTGGGGATAGCGCCGACTACGAGGAGCTGGGAACTGTTAGTATCGTACATGAGTGTGCGCAAAACCGAGGGTGCTTACCCGTTCCTGTGTCCGGATGTTGTTCTGGACAGCAGTACCGCAACACCATGCAGCGTAATACCGGAGTTCAGACTCTTTGTTCTCTAACTGTTCGACAAGGGGCACCCATAGTCCCAGACTCTCGATGTTGTTTGCGTTGTCGAGGTTCTCGATGAGTTGCTCGAAGTTGTCGAAGGCGGTCGTCCGGTGCTCCAGCTCGGCCTCTTCGTTTTGAATGACCTGCATGCTCTCCTGCATCAATTGCGCATCCGAAGGTCCTGACATTCCCGTCATGAGCTGTTGCAGCGCCGTGGCGTCGATTTGAGGCGGCGGTTGGTTGGCGGCAGCGGCATCAGTGCGCGAGGCCTCGGAGTTCTGGATACCCCATTTGAGGAGATTGTTTAGTCCTGGGTCGTTCATGGTGTTGAATAGGTGTGTGATGTTTGGTGTGTTGTGTGGAGGGTGTGTGTAATCGCGGGGTGTAAAGCCATTGAATAATTTTGGCGGGCCTTATGACGCCGACGCTCGCGAGGGGACCAGCAGCTTCGCGGACCTTCCATGGGAGATCGTGCCCAACACAGCTGTCAACACCATCAACCACATGGCGGGAAACGAACAAACACGACAAACATGGCGCGGTGCAAAAGCTGGTCGATGTCGGCTCTCAATGACATAATCACGACATGTTGGCATCGAGGATAGCATTCTTGCTGCGAATGCTCGTTTGGCTAGGTGCACTGCTGCTGCCCCTCCGCACACGTGACCTTCGTATTCGGAATGGGCGGGGATGGCGAGTTGGCGGTGAGCGAAGCCGCGGATGGCTGGGGGACTGACTTGTGCTCGACGCTGACTTGTGCATTCACAGCGCACCGGCGAGAACACGTAGGTGCTAGTGGAGTGTCGATGATTGCTATACGCCAAGGATCAAACACCGCTGCCTGGCGGTCTGGTAGAGTTGACGTGCGCCGACAGCAGCTTCCTCGATGCTGTGGCGGGGAGCTTGCGTACTCTCCCAGTACGTACCACCGGGATAGATAGAGTCCATTCTAGGCTGCACAATTTGGGCAGCACGTATAAGATGCCCAACACCGTTATCGTCGTGAAGCCAGATCGCCAACGCTGAAATTATACACAATCCCCTTTAGGAGCCGCCCGTTCGTGCAAAGCCTCCTTCGCGCCTGCGCTCCTGCCACCCCGCTAAATCTGGGCAAGGCCGACCCGCTTATTTAGCACACCCAGTTCTTGCCTCTGCGCACAAGAACCTCAACCTCAACACCGCCGCCGAACTTGTAAGCTCCCCGAACACCTCCGTACCCTTTTTACTTTTTCACCGCTAGCTGCATCTCTGAGCCTTCCCACTGACGCTCAATTGCTCCAGCGCTCTTACATCGACACCCATCTACAACTCCACGTCTACTCTAATCTCACCCTAATCAATCAACATGGAGGGTAAGCAGCTCCACCCCGACCGCCCCGTGTCCTGACCATCGCCGTCCACCATGCCCTCTATCTCAATGAGCTCTGCTAACCTCGATTGCCCACTACAGAGGAAGTCGCAGCCCTCGTCATCGACAATGGGTGAGTTGGCACCCCCCGAAGCCCAACACCGCCATCCCTGCCGTGGAGGGGCTGTCCGCGCCTGAGCCTTATCTGAGCCGCGACGACATCCTCCACGGCAGCGCGCCATGTCGGGAGATGAAATGAGCTTGAGCTGACAATCCCCAGTTCGGGTATGTGCAAGGCCGGTTTCGCCGGTGACGATGCGCCCCGAGCAGTCTTCCGTAAGTACCTCCAGATCCGCCTCCCAGCTGCGGCGGGATCGAACGCCATCTCGAGAGCACTTCTGACAGCTTTGCAGCTTCCATCGTTGGCCGACCGCGTCACCATGGGTACGATGAACCCCCCGTAGTCCCCACGCTCCCCGCCGTCTAACAACAAACAGTATCATGATTGGTATGGGCCAGAAGGACTCCTACGTCGGTGATGAGGCACAGTCGAAGCGTGGTATCCTGACCCTGCGATACCCCATTGAGCACGGTGTCGTTACCAACTGGGACGACATGGAGAAGATCTGGCATCACACTTTCTACAACGAGCTGCGTGTTGCCCCCGAGGAGCACCCCGTCCTGCTTACCGAGGCTCCCATCAACCCCAAGTCCAACCGTGAGAAGATGACACAGATTGTCTTCGAGACCTTCAACGCTCCCGCCTTCTACGTCTCCATCCAGGCCGTCCTGTCTCTGTACGCCTCCGGACGTACCACCGGTATCGTGCTCGACTCCGGTGACGGTGTCACTCACGTTGTCCCCATTTACGAGGGTTTCGCTCTTCCCCACGCCATCTCCCGTGTCGACATGGCTGGTCGTGATCTGACTGACTACCTCATGAAGATCTTGGCTGAGCGCGGTTACACCTTCTCCACCACTGCCGAGCGCGAAATCGTCCGTGACATCAAGGAGAAGCTCTGCTACGTCGCTCTCGACTTCGAGCAGGAGATCCAGACTGCCAGCCAGTCCTCCAGCTTGGAGAAGTCCTACGAGCTTCCCGACGGTCAAGTCATCACCATTGGCAACGAGCGTTTCCGTGCTCCTGAGGCTCTCTTCCAGCCTTCCGTCTTGGGTCTTGAGAGCGGTGGTATCCACGTCACCACTTTCAACTCCATCATGAAGTGCGATGTCGACGTCAGGAAAGACCTGTACGGCAACATTGTCATGGTACGTTGAACGCTATAATCTCGCAAACACAGCTAACAGCAGCCAGTCTGGTGGAACCACCATGTACCCCGGTATCTCCGACCGTATGCAGAAGGAAATCACCGCGCTCGCCCCATCCTCGATGAAGGTCAAGATCATCGCTCCCCCGGAGCGCAAGTACTCCGTCTGGATCGGTGGTTCCATTCTCGCCTCGCTCTCCACCTTCCAGCAGATGTGGATCTCAAAGCAGGAGTACGACGAGAGCGGTCCCTCCATCGTCCACCGCAAGTGCTTCTAAGGTACTGGAAGTCATGTGTCTACGCGATCCATCGACTGACGGTTTTCTTCCTAGCGTGTTCTTGCGTACGGTTCTCGAGATCATGACAAGCCTAGTAGCGGGGGCATCCTTGTATTGGTGCCTTGTTATCCCGGGGTTTTACACATGTCGATTGTCCACAAAATAGCACAGCGGGCCAATGGTTGGGTGTTTGAGTTATGGAGGAGCTTGAGCTCACATGGGGGTGTAGGATCTTAAGATTGTAGCTTAGAGCCTATGGACACTTTCATATCCCTTACGATCTTTGGCTGTCTCTGTGTGATGAGTGATGATGTGATAACGCAATCTGCAGCTGCAAGCTTATGTGTATCTCAAAACCTCGACCGGGCACGTATTCACCTGAACGTATGACAGTCAAACACGCGCGACGCGTCACAAACGTGCCTGCCTTTCGATCAAAGTAACGACGTGTAGAACTGGGACGAGTGGTTGGACATCCCTGCTAGCGCGGAAGTGAGTCCTCCGCGGGAAGGCACGAAGCGACGCGTTCCTCTGCAAAATGCTTACTTGCAACCTTCCATCTCACGCATGAATCAGCATGATATGACTCAAATTCTTATCTAGGTCCTCCTCATCATACCTAGCTGTTGCATCGTTCATTCTACTATTTATTGTTGGTACCGCGACGCTGGTCGCACTGGGGCAATTTCCTCCGAACTCACACCGGTCACGCGACT